GTAGCTTTGAGCTGAAATATCTGCTTTGATATTCTAGGTTATATGACAATCTAGAAGGGGCCTAATGCCCTCCCACATAGCTGTCTAAAGTCCACATTGAACTGGATTATATGGCAATGTGAAATTAGGGCCCTTCCGTACAGCCCTGTATCCCAGAATATCATGGCAGAAAATCCCACAACTGGGTTATCTTGAGTCCACACTACCATATAACCGACTTCAAAGCAGATAATGTGGGATTTTATACAGCTGTGTGGAAGGGGCCTCAGATAACCCAGTTCAAAGCAGATATTGTGGATTATCTGCCTCAATATTAATAATAATAATAATAAACCTTTATTTATACCCCGCTACCATCTCCCGAAGGACTTGGTGCGGCTTACAAGAGACCGAGCCCAAATGCATCAGTAAAAACAGCAACAGCAATACAGACAATAAATAAATTCATAAACATAGCAATAAACAGTAACAATAACACCACGATGCATTAAAAACCTATGGCAGGGCCAAATGTAATAATTAAAATTTTAAAAATGCTGGGCATGACAAGGTGACATATAACTGGGATAGGTATTTGGAGAGAGATGGAGCAAGCAGACAATACTGGGTTTTATGGCAGCGACTCCGTCCAGCATGGCAGGCGGGTTTATTATTGGTGAACGATGGTCCATCTATTCTGACTGAGCCACTTTTAAATATCAAACAAACAAACAAAAAAACACAGAAGTGCCATTGCCCTCTATAGTTTCATTGTAACTACGCTGCCATACAAAATCCAGATTATCTGCTTTGAACTGGATTATATGACAGTGTGGACTCAGATAATCCACATTATCTTCTTTGAACTGGAGTATCTTCTTTATTAATCTGGATTATATGACAGTGTGGAAGGGGCCTTCCACGCGGATGTATAAAATCCACATTAAACTGGATTATATGGCAGTGTGGATTCAAGGCTCTTCCACACAGCCATATAACTCAGAATATCAAGGCAGACAATCCCACAATATGTGCTTTGAACTGGGTTATCTG